CAATCACAGAGTTCTTATTTTGGCAAGTGCTCTCATGAATCATCTTTAAACATCAGAGCAGTTATGCATTGGATATTATCAGTAATATTATTAATATATCTATCTTAAAGGTAATAAAAAAGAACTTTTAAAACCTAAGGAACATATCCAAGTTCAAGTAGCTAGTAATTATCCAAGCCAGGATTCAAGCATAGGATTCAAAAATTTCATCCTTAGGTATATTTTCAAGAAAAAGGAAAACATTTGTCACAAAAACTTTGTACGTGAAAATCTATTTCTTAGAAAACAGATGTCTATCAATGGAATAATGTATTATTATGTTATATTCATACAAGCAGCCATTATTCACCAATTAAACCTAGCATCTATTAATACAGTCAACAATATTACAAGGCAGTATATTAAGAATAAGAAGACAAACACAAAAATGTATATGCAAGACTCTGTCTATCTTTCCCAAATTGAGAAGTTGAAATCCTAATCCCCAAGAAATTTGAGGACCTTGTGGAGTGATTAAGACATAAAGTTATAAACATCATACTTAAGATTAGTGGATCAACATCTTTAAAAACTAGGGAGCAAAGCTGGCTTATCTCTCTCACCATGTGAGCACAAAAGAAAAAGGCCCAGCTATTAACTAGAAAATGAGCCCTCATCTGACACAGAATCTTCCAGAGCTTTGTTCTTAGATTTTTCAGCCTCTAGAATTCTGAGAGATTAATTTCTGTTGTTGATAAGTGACTCAGTTATGGTGCTATTATTAGAGCAACCCAAACAGACTACAAAAGAAGACACAGATAAGTGGTTAAGAAATTTTTTATTATGGTGAACTGACTGATATATGTACTAAAGACATAAGCATTTCATCATATTTTAACTATGTCTCTTGATTTTAAATGTAGCTCTGCTACCTTTTCACAAGTAAAAGTAAGATGACAATAACTAAGAAAATTCCAGATTTCCACGATAACATACTTAAGGCATATGTTAACAAGGAATTTCCTGAACTTGATTTGTGTTTGTTTCCTTAAAAGCATAAGAAAAAAATTTAAAAATAGAACTTATGCAAATAATATAAGTTCTCTGGTAAACTATTTGAATTACAAAATTTAGGCAGAAGAACCACAGAATTGCTTCATTTTTGATGGTTTACTTGTTTTATGTGACCTTAAAATTAGTAGTTATGATAAAATAATTAAACTTTGTAAAAGCATATGAAGAACGCACCTTTCATCTCACCAGCTGAAGAAAACTACACACACAAACACATACACATGCATGTGTGCACGCAAACACAACCACACAGCAGTATCAGAATTTTAAAAATAAATTTTATATATGATTCTATGCATTAAATGCATACTTCGATGTATTTTATAGCTGTTATATAATCTTAATATTTTTTTTCCTTAAATATATAAATAAACATAGACAATCTACAATTTTAATTGGATTTAACATTCAATTATATGAGAACATTAGGAATTATATAACCAACAACAAATTGATGGACTCTTAAGTTTTAAGTCAGTATCTCATAAAATTTTATAACAAGTAAACCAGCACAAATTGTTTGCTGTGTGATTCAGTCAATCTTCATTAAATCTCTTTTCAACTCAACTATAAATTACAGAAGTTTATTAGCATTTTTATAGCATTACCAATATCACTATGTAGATTCTAAATAAAAGACAAAGCATCCGCTTGGATGAAATTCTTAGAAAAGTCCCTATACTTCTAAAACACATCATGGAGACTTAATAATCTGTCTCAATTTTATTCATCTGTCACATAATTTGAGGTGCTTTTGAGTCCTCTTTTGTCTATCCATTCCTAACATTTACAGCATACATCATTTCAGTAACTTTGTTTTTTGTCTCCAACCTATCTACGAAGATATATAATTCATACCAATGAAAGGTAACTTTTAAAATACACATTTTTATTTCATGCTCTTCCACAAAAACCTTCAGTAGTTTTCTATAGCCTATAAAATAATTAAAATACTAAATAAACTTATTAAATATAGTCATTAAAATTAGAGATAAGACCACCTTCAAGGTGTATTATCTGCATTACTTCCTGTCTGAGTATTTCCTTGTATTGCTTTCCTGAAATATGCTTCCCTATTTCACTGAAATTCTAACCTTAAGAGTTACATTTTTCTTCCATCTAGGAATTTCTTCCAAACTTTTGCATATATTTTATGTGAGCACATGAATTAACCTGATTTGCATGCATGTTTCCCTCAGTAGAGTGCAAGTGCCTTAATAGTAGGCCTTCCAGTCTTAGCTTTCTTTATTCCTGAAGGTTTTCATAAAAATTAAAAGACATATTTTATAAAACAGTATCTATCAATAAATAATAGCCAATTTGAAGTTAAATCATATATAAAATCCTAGGCTAGATCAAAGAATTTGAACCAATAGGAATATGGTAGAGTTGCATTTATCTCATACTAAGTTTTCAGCAAAAATCAAGAATGATATTTTGCTGAGTCTTTAGAATTCAATAGCAATCTCAGTGATACAAAGGGGAAGAACATGAATACAGGTAAAGGAGGTTGGAATGGCTGGAAAGACGAATATGTTCACAAGCGACAGAGAAAAGATTGAAAAGGTAGGCAACATAAAGGAGATCAAGTAAAGGAGTAGACTTTATAAACTAAAAAAGCTCAAAATGTATCTTCAAAACCACCTGAAAAAGTGAAACGTTTTAACATGTTTAACATCAGAAAGTTTTAATAACAAAAATCAATATAAACTGTATATTAAATGCTAGAAACTATTAGAAAGGCATTATTATAATCTAAATAAAATTATTAACTCAGGGTGTAATAAATATGGAATACATTTCTGCCACATACCTTTCCAAACTATGTTTTTATTGCTTAATAACAGGCCCAGTCTGGTGGTACTACAAAGTACCGATATCTCTCTGACCCTGTAGTTGACACCAAGATACTGCTAAACTCTATACTCACTCTGCAACTTTTAATATGTTCATGTGGGTAAATAATCAATATCTCAAAGTATCAAACTTAACGTGGCTAAATCATGACTTGAAATTTTCATTCCCAAATCTTTTTGTACCTCAGTCTTCCCAGTGGCAGTAAGGCCATGTTGACATTCAACAATATGCTCTGACCAGAATTCTAGAAATGAACATTGAATGCTTTTTTTCATACCTGTGCCCAATCTATAAAACTCTACATAGAAAAATATGCCCAAGGGAAAATTATTATATATATATATATGCACACACACACACACACACACACACAAAATCAATAAGATACTTATATAGCTAATATCTCTTAGTTCACTGAAAAGAAATGTTTGTGCTAATATTGTTTGGACAATACTCCATGCATGTATCTTATACTCTGAACAACTATTATGAGTATAAAAATACATAATGTATTACTGTTACTATCCTACTAGCCTGTTTTGAAATCTGTTCTATTGGTATTTTTATTTTTTTCTCTCTGAAATAAAAAAAGAAAGACATGTCCAAATCCCACCAAACTCTGTACATCTACATTAAAGCAACAGCATGAAGGAATCAGCCCTGTCCACGTAGGCCGTTCCAGAACCTCCTCACCATTCTCCCTCTTTTCCCTTCCCAGTCACCTGATCCAAACCCGCTTCAACCTATCCAAAGCTGCAGTGCTGGCTTTGTCAGCGCATAGTCCCACAGCTGCAGAAATGACTCTTCACATGTGTCAGATCATATTTTACTACTGTTTTTAAAAAGCAAATGAGTATTTAAAATGTTACATTGTCCTTTGTCATACTTAAAAAAGAATTCATGGGACAAAAAAGATACCATATGATTCTTTATTCAAATAGTGATAATATTTTTCTTAAAAAGAAATAATAAAATTGTAGTAAAAATAGGAACTAATTTTCAAGAAATCTTAATATTCTACTCATGTTGAATATCAAATTTATTCTAATTATAGCATTTTATTTGTGATTTAAAAGTTAATTACATCTTGTTTGGGTTGAGAGTAAACTTTTATTAGAAATTCATCCTTTGATATATAGCAATATAACAAATATGCAATGGGTCCATTGGTTGTCACATAAAAATATAAACTTGTTCAAAATGTCAAAGGACTAAGAACAACAAGTTTCATGAAAACAATAGTAACTAAAAGACACTAGAGCAAAATCTAAACTGCCAAATTCATCTTCCTAAAACACATGAAGTCAGTTCTTTCTTCAAGTGGCTATTACAATTCCTCATCAAAGATGAACTCTTCCAGGAGGATTGAAAGGCAAATTAGAAACTTGACTGAAATGACCTGTATGACCTTGACTGTCTGCTCAGGACAACAGGCCAGGTTTCCTCACTGTCCATCAGACTTTTCCCTTTGTGCAATCCTGGGCAACAAAGGCAAGGAAGGAAGCATCGTGAGCACTTCAACTCTGGAACTGGCTTATTACTCACAATTGTAGTCAAGCCAAACCTAATCTCATGCAGACTACCCAGAGGTGTGGAAAGAAACTGAGTTTTGTGTTTTCGGACCAGTTAATAATGTAATAGGTAATACATGTAGGAAAAAAATTTCTTTAAGTAAGAGTTTCTGATGATAATGCAATCAAACCCTTGATTGCTTTATCATTGACCATGAGATAAACATGATAAACACACATTTTTGACTTGATTTTACAGACCCCTCATGATTCCTTCTGTGTGTCCCACTCCTCAGGTCATCCATGCACTTGCCCACTTCATAACTACATCCTTCGTCTTTCAAAGAATCAGCCACATCGACCTTGTCTTAGTGATCAAGTGTATCATAAAACCCCGGCCAGTTCACAACACAGTGTCAAAGGCATCCCACTCTGAAAACCTTTTAATCGCATTTCCAATTAAAGGGTATATTGGTTTGACTACTTTAGCACTCTGCATATATTTGGATCTAAATATACTGAAGTTAAAATTTGACAATTCTGTTACCTAGATGGAAACAGCAAAGACCAGTGTCTTACCACTGAGGCAACTGGAGGTAGGAAGATCTCAGCAGGTGGAGTGGTGTTTAGGCTTTCATCGAAAACAGCACTGATCTGAGGTGTGATAGAGTCGGGGAGGTCATTTTCTTCATTCAGATTTTCACACGATGCTGTATAAGGTCGAGCTAACCCTTTCAAAATCACGTAAAATCCATCGTTTCCAAATACTGAATGAAAAGAGAAAAAGAAAAACAGAATATACATATATATGGCATTAGATCCACTTGAGACTGTGCAAATAAGAAGAAATGCATGTTAGGTGTACTTTTTCCATATAATTACATACAGTGAACTATCTTCTAATGGAATGGATAGTCAAAGGCCTATTTGGAGTACCCTTCATATAATTACATGCAGTAAGCTGTCTTTTCATAGAACTAATAGTTTCTAGCACAAAAGAAAGAAATATCATAGCATATCATGTATTAACAGATTTTAGAATTTATGAGAAAAATAAGACTAGAAAAACCATTAAAATTTATTTCTTCCCCCAACCATCACATGCATATTTTATATAAGTAACACCATATTTATACTATTAATTATTATTTACCATTGGTATGGATACAATGAAGATTATTTACAGAACTTCATAAAACGGATAGTTTAGAAAGGGTGATTTATTACCAGAATGAAGAGTTTCTCCAGTACCTGCCAAACCCCATGTTATAAATCTCAACAATCTGCCATCCAACTTAACTGCCAAAGACCAACTATGTACCTGTAAAGCTGGCAGGTGGACTCCCTGTGAGCATGTTAAATGCTGCTTAAATCAGTTCCAGCTCTTTTGGAACCTATTCCTTTGAAGAAGCAGGTTATGGAAACCGGATGGTATCTTCATTTCTCAATTGTTCACATACTTTGTTGGATTGTAGCAAATTATTCAAGTCCTATATGATCATTTCTTAACATTTTGCTTATTATTTTTTCAGAGATGGAAACTTTATAAGTTGATGTTGAGGGATAAACTTGTGTCTTTGCATGCCCTAAAAGTTTTCAATTATTTGGACTCTCTGCTTTTTCCTACCCACAGCATTCATTTTAGAGGGAAAGTGATTCTTCACTCTTCTTTAAAACAAATTTTGTTTTATTTAGATGTCTGAGCTTAAGATTGACCACAGCCTTAGTAGCACAGTATCATTCACTAAACATCTAATCTGTGAGGTGAGAACATTTCAGAATCATTGTTTTTAATAGCTGATGAGTGAGCTAGGTGGTAGTAAGCACATGCAAAGATTGCTGGTGATAAAATTTTGTAAAACGAGTAGTGATTTTGACTAATTACATAGGGGTAAAGCAGTGAAGGGAAATGTATATTCTAATATGCAGTTACGTTTGAGTTGTGTTTTTATATAGAGTTAACTGGAACTTCTTAGCATAGAATAAAAGTTGTGGAAAGAGATGCACAGTGTAAACAATTTTATTCCAAGGGCTACTACTTGCCTTCCCAAAATCAATTATTTCCTTTTCCTTTACTAGCAAAACAATTTTGTTGTGTGTCATGTGCTATACTAAAAAATTCTATTTCCCAGATTCTCCAACATGTGTGGCTATGTTCCATCATTCTAATTAATAAAACATTGAGAACAATTTTTACTTTCTAAATATGCACACCACCTGTTCTACCTTGTTATCAAAAACAGAGATATAATGTTGGGGCCAAGAAGGAATTTTACAACCAAAAAGAAAAGAAATTGTCAGAGATTTCACTGTAACATCACTGAACTATTTGTCTGGGAACTTCTCATGATATAACATAAACAAATCTTCAAAATTTTTTAATGATCACCCTTTACAACATGCTATCAAGCCCAGATAAAACTTTTGTGTAGATATTGTTGGTATTTCACTTAACTCTAAGCATAATTGGCCCACCTGTCACTAACATATACAGTCATGTTATCACAGAGAATACTATCTCTATGTGAAACATCAGTTTCTATAACTATATTTAAAGAATGGCATTCTGTAAAGGGATTGGAAATAGATAAAATATCTTTTAGAAATTTGTCATCTGAAAATAATGCCATGTGGTTTGAAAATCTAAATTTATATCAGCTAGATATAATAAAATAATTGTGATATATCAATGTGGCTAGATCAATAATTGCCCTGGGGATTAGTAGAACATACTTCTGGGTGTGTGTGAGTGGGTCATGCAGGTACACTGTTAGATACTATATGTGGTCCCTGGCCACTTCCGTGCTAACACTCTTTCCTTCCTTTGCTTTCCAGATGCCTTGAACTAAGCAGCTTTGCTCCACCCTCCCCTCCAACCATGCACTGACTCCCTTGAAACCAAGAACCAAATGAAACCCCTTCTACTTTAGATTCTTAGCGCTGGGTATTTCATTCAGCAATAGGAAAGCTGAATAGTACATATGATTAAATGTGGATTTCTAGGTTAGGATTAACAATTCATGTCATGTGTAAAAACCAGTTTCATAGTTATCTCTGCCCTACAGTTGATTTCAAAAGCAATGCCTAATGCATATGCAATAATTAGCATACAAGTGTTAAATTGGGAGCGGCTGTCATGCTCCAAGAAAATATGTTCACCTTGATAAGCATCACTCCTCTGTTCCCAATAAAACCCTAGTATTTTCTTTAAGTCTTCATCCAGTCATAGTGAATTTTTCTAAATAATTTCTGCTTATATTGCATAAATATTTCATTTACATGATAAAAATATCTAAAACATTAAGGAGACCTTCATGGAGGTAAGCCAATTGGAAGAAGCTGAGAAACAAGAAAAAATGTTTAAGATATTAAATGTCTCATTGACCCTCAAATTATACTTACAAGAAAAGTTCAAATCACAATATTGCTGTGTTTGAAAAAGCAAGGAAAAGAGGAAGGTATTTTAGAAGAAAGATGTTTACTAAGTCAATACAATGTAATGTTGTTTACAAATATTTTTCTTCAAAATAATATATTGCAAACAGATCCAAGAGGCTGGAAAAAGCACTAGTCCCAGTGTCACATTCATTGTGAAAAGTCAAGAAAGAAGAGCATCGTTAAGCTCAATTTCTAGTTAAAAATATTGATCTGTTAAGTCAAATTATCCCCATGTCTTAGAAGTAGTACTTCATTTTTTCAATTAGTATTTTAAATGATTTAACCAGCATGAATTAATAAACTTTTAAACATGCAGGTGAAAGATTGTACCTAATTATAATATTTACATTAGTTAACAAAACAGCTTAAGGTGTATTGTATTAAATATTACTTTGTCAAAAATTTTAACATCATAATGTGTAAAATATTTCACATGAACCTTTGTCCTTAGTTTTCTTTACCATCATTTGCACCAGTTTTCTATCCTCTAACACACTTCTCAGGCAGTGTTCTTGTTAATTGGTTTGGAATACAGTATGTTTTGCATCTTAATGTAATGAAATCTTTGAAATTGTATCCCAAGTCATAAGCACTGTAATTATTTGTATAATACTGACAATATTTGCATAACACATTTGGTTATTTTTAGAGATAAAATAACTGTTCAACTTATGACTAAAAATAATTTTTAATTAAAAAGAATGAAAGAGAGCTAGAAAAACTAAGAATCACTTGTACATAAATCAGAGATTTTAATAAGACATCTATTTCAAAATAGATGGAAAACAGACTAGAATAATCAAAACTTTAAAACAAAGTAATGAAACATCAGTATACATGTAATGCAACTGAATTTCTTAAATGTTGTTGGGGTGACTGTAAAATAAAATAGTTCTATAAGACTCTTTGCAAACAATAAGAATTTAATCTAACCTGTGTTCAAGCAATTTGACTACTTAGGTATTTATTGCGGAGACAAAACAGTAATGCTGAAAGAAGTATTTATTCGGGAATGTCATTAGCAGCTCTATCATGATAGTCAAAAGCTAGAAATAACTCAGGTCTCCAACCATAAGACAAGGTGTTAAATCAGCTCTGCTCTAACCAGACAGTTGAATATTACTCAGTCACAAAAAACAATGAATTATTGATTCATGCAACATGCATTAATCTCCAAAGCATTATGCTAATTGAAAGAAAGCTTTCATAGAAGGAGATACGCTATTTGACTTTTTTATAAAATTCTAAATGCTTCATGAAAACTTTCAATGGAAAAGCAAAAGAAATAAAACAGAGAGCAATTGCTCCAGGGTATCGGGCCAGGACCAATTGGGATGAAACACAGAGAGAAGTTTTGGGGTGTTGGTAAAGTTCTGCACTTTCATAAGGATTTGGGTTGCAGTGTTTGTCAAGGCCCATCAAATGACACAGCTAAAGAACACATGTATGCACCACTACATGTAAGTTTTATCTTAAAAATAAGAGACCAGAAGCGTATTGAATTCTGGAACACTTTGCAGTGTTTAGGAGTGGAACGTTTGGGTACTATGCCTATCGATAGAATGGAATACAGTGTTAGTATCACAGGGGGACAACTGTAAAAAGAAAATGAGCATCTGAGTGTGATAGCAAGTATTTTTAAGGTCTTCCTTTTGTGTTTGTTATTTACCAGATACTGGCTTAAATATAGTATATATTGACCTATTAATCTTTGCATAATGTACTATTTTTGAGTAAAGTATGTACTATGATTGATCCAAATTTGTAATAAGGAAATGAAGACAGTGAAAAGTTAAATATCCTTCCCACATTGGGAGAGCCACGAGTCATAGAGCCAAGATTTCATCCACAGATTCCTGCAGTGCCAGATCACCATGCTGGGCTTTTTATCCATACAGCTACGTAGTATTTCCCTTTCCCTCTCCTCTCCCTGCCCTTTCCCTCTCCGCCCCTCCCTGCCCTCCCCTTTCCCTTTCCCTCTCCTCTCCTCTCTTCTCCCCTCTACTCCTGTCCTCTCCTCTCATCTTCCTCTTCCCCACTCTCCTTCCTTCTTTCCACGATATACATTCTAAACTGATAGGGATTCAGTGACAGAGTTACTAGATATGTGACCTAGATGAATGTCAAGTTTCATTTCTAATTTTAAAAAGATTCACTTCAGAATAATGGTTCAGTTAAAACGATAGCAAACAAAAGTCAAACTTTGTGTGCCTATACCATAGATATATTTATGAGATCATATAGCAAAGATGGGTTTAGAAAGAGATTTAGTAGCATAGTTTATTGTTTTTAAGATAATTAAGTATAAATTAAGTAGGTCATATCAAAG